AGAGACTTCAAATCGGTCAGTCCATCTCACTCACTGTACCGTAGATGTACCTTCAATTTGGTCAGTCCATCTCACTCACTGTACTGTAGATGTATCTTCAAATCGGTCAGTCCATCTCACTCACTGTACCATAGATGTACCTTCAATTTGGTCAGTCCATCTCACTCATTGTACCGTAGATGTACCTTCAATTTGGTCAGTCCATCTCACTCACTGTACCGTAGATGTACCTTCAAATTGGTGTTGGTGGCAGAACCAACAAGACAAGCAGTAACGTAGATAAGCAGGATGTCCAGTGTTATGTAACAGCTCACATTTCATACCAGGAAGCTGCTGGTTTCATTTTGGACACTGCCCAATGGAGAAATCCGTCCAGTGCCTTTGAAGAAACAAACAACAATTTTTTATGGACCTAATATCACTGTCATCTGGACATGCTTTCGTTAATATTTAACAGTTTTTCCCAGGAGGAAACCTTTGTTTCTCTTTATCACAGTGTTCCGTGTGTGATATTGCCATGCTTTGATCAGAACTGTCATCCCTGAGGGAATGGATGGGCGCCCGGCTGTCACGGGCCCCTGTGCTTGTGCTGCAGCTGTACCCTTTGTGTTTCAGGCCTCTCCTGCTGCCCTGGCCAAGTGTGTTCTTGCTGAGGTGCCCAAGCAGGTGGTAGAGTACTACAGTCATGTGGGATATGGGCCCAAGACGCCAGTGCTGGATTCACCCACCTCTGTGCCCAACACCCCTGAGTAATGAAGAATCCTGTCAGCAAACAGACCCAGGTTGTTCGGATAGGTGAGTGTTCAGGAGACACGCTATTTACCCCCGTCCAGATATAAAAATATTAGATATTACGATGATTCATTTGTATTTTTATTTTGGCACTGGGTGTTTTGGTCTGTCTGGCCCTGAGCCTGTGCTGTCCTGGGTTTTGTAGACTGCTTCTATAATTTCTCTTGTTCAGATGGCTCTTTTTTAATTATCTGCAAATATTTTTAAATCTTTTTTTTTAATTTCCTCATCTACTCTCTTGCCCTGCTTGAAGAATCTAAGGGCAATGGTAAATTATGTCATTGCTTATACGTTACAGTATAATAGTCTAGAAATTTGGAATGTATACATTGATAGAATCCAGGAAAAATGATTCTCTTTAACAGCAAATAAAACGGTCTGGGTCAATGAATTGAATATTAATCTCTATTCATTCAAAAGGAAAAATGTTCTTCATGTAATTTATGTGTATTTGAGTTTTGCATTTCGCAATTTCTACTAATTGTTCCACTTTTATGATTCTTTTACATGCTGCAACTTCCTATGATTCTACAGATTGCCTACTAAAGCCATAATCAAGTGTTTCCAGTATGTTTGACCCCATGAAAAGAGAATTATAAGGTGTTCAAACACCCTCCTGACATTATGGTATTTCATTAGCTGATGTTACACCTTAGAGTCCATTGTTTTCCTACGATTTCCCTGCAACTCTGTATGTCGACAGCATCACATGAACTAAACAGCTTCAGGTGTCTTGCGTAGTGGCTTCCTGCAAACACTGGTATTCGCTATGTGATGCTGTCTTGAAAGTAGTCTAGAATAGTTATACATTGTGCTTTTTCAGATGTGATAGAAAAATATTTTTTGTATTTCATAAAGATGTTTTTTGTTCTCAGAAATCGAATAGTAAGCAGCCATAATTGAGGAAAAATGTCATGAAGATGGGCTTTTACTCGATGCTTTAAATATAGAGGGGTCCAGGTCATCGGCTATTGTCCATGTCTCTATTCACACTGTTCATTCATGCCCCCATAAAGATCCCAGCTGGATAAAAGACCTTCTGTGATCCTGTTAACTGACATTATTAAATATGTCCACAATTTAGACAAGACTGAAATAACACACAAATCAATATGACACCCACCAGTAGCTCTTGTAGAACAAGAGTGTGTACGCAAAGTATGTTTGAGTTATCACCACTACTCACTGAGACACTTCAGAGTGAGAACATGCAGGTTAAATACAAGGTGTGACTTGTAAAATATTGGCATGAAAAGGAATATGGAATGTACCAATACAATCTACCAGCAAACTGAGATATGAAGGAACTGGTCACATTTATTTCTCACTGGTGGTTTGGATTCCTTTCACCCTGGTGGTGTGACCTCCACTGTCTTTCAGTTAGACAAAGAAAAGAGGGAGGTAGCTGTATAAAGAAGAAGTCACCATGACACTGGTAAACACCCCTGTCCTTAACTGTATTTTGGTGCAGTCCTAGAAATATTTCTGCATGCTTACCTCAGTGCACTAAAAATGTTTCATCCATTGGATTAAAATGTTTACGCCTGCAATCTTTCTTCCAGTTGCCTAAACTGCATATTTTCCTGTCAACTCCTTAACAGCCTATAAGTAAATGTTTAAAAGCATCTGCATGTGTGACAGTGTTGCAATGTGGTACGTGATTGTGACACATTTTCCTCTGAACTTCTTTTTGAAAGAAAAAATATAAATAAAGATGAATATTTACTGCCATTTTACCTTTATTTTTCATGCTTTGCTTTGATTTTTTTTTTTAACTTCTAAATGTTAACTGTTGCATATTTCTCACCTGTGGTTAATGTGTAAGCGTTTTTGTGCTGACAATTCAATGTACATAACCTGAAAAGGCAAGGGCTGGTGCTATGCTATTTATGACCTTCAGTTAGGAACCTACCTAGAAATTCTGGACCCCCTAGACTTAATACCACCTTAAGCCCCCTCTTGCCCAGTTTTACATTAATTCTGCTGAGGCTGGGGCTCAAACTGGTGATCTTCTGATCACAGGCACAGAGTGTGACCCACAAAACAACAACAACGACAACATTAATTCCTCTATACCCACTTGTCCTGGCTGGAAATTAGTGGATGGTATATAGGCAATGAAAAAAAAACAAAAAAAAAAACAAATGGCACCTGTTGCAAAGACAGGATGCTATCTGCTATGTTATGGGATGGAATGGGGGTGGGGGCCAGGAGGAGACATCGACGGAAGGATCCACAGTAGTACTTCTCATTACACTGAGGTGAAAAACGTGCTCCGGATAGTGGCCCCCATTGTCGGATAGGCAGAATAGTCCATAATGCTGTTCAGTTTTGTCACTCATGATATCGCCCACTGTACCTACTTGTAGTTGTAATAGGCACATGATGGGGGCAGCGTGGGGGTTTGTTGAGTAGCCCTGGTGCCTCAGACCTCCTCCATTAGGTTTTGAATTATGTCGTCTTTCTGCGGATGTTGAGCTTTCATGTTCACTCAGTGTCATATGAGAGGAGACTGGCTACTCTGGGACCAGACCTGTGCTGGGTACTGCAGGCGCTCCCTAACTAGAGGAGGAGAGGAGCTGTCTGGGTACTGCAGGTGCTCCCTAACTAGAGGAGGAGAGGAGCTGTCTGGGTACTGCAGGTGCTCCCTAACTAGAGGAGGAGAGGAGCTGTCTGGGTACCACTTGTTTAAGATTCAGTAATTTATGTAGCCAGCTTACAGATCACTTAAAGTGCCTTTTCTGTCACGTGAGTATTGGTCACTATCAGCAGACTAAAGAATAATCCAAAATTCCCATCTTCCAAATCGACGTGGGACATTTTTCTGTTATATCTTACTATTCTTGGCAGTTATTTTTTTCCCTTTTTTGGCTCCGGTAACTTGAAACAACAATTAACAGCAATGAGCTGGCCCACCATTGGCAGCTCTGTGGTCCGTGCGGTGGGCTTTCGCTGAGGTGACGCGGCAGAAAGCCGAGGTGTTTTCTCTTTATGGCACTGTGCTGGTGTCCCACCCCCCACACCGAGCCTAAAGACAGCTAAACCTCCCGAGTGCATCCGTAAAAGGCGTCACGCAGCAGGGACTTGATTATCTCTGTTGTTCTGGGACTGTGCTGAAGCAGTTTGGGTAGAGCGGAGACTCTCTGAGTGGTACTGAAGCTCGGGCCATGCAGCCACTCTTATTACTGCCCTGTTCAGGGCTGCGTACTCGTATTTCTCTTCCCACCAATTTAATAGAACAAACTGAATGGTCACGCAGTACCTGCAATTGCGATTAGAATAACGCTTGATGTTCCAGTGCAAACATTGAATTGCACTGCATCCACTGGATTTTGAATAAGTGTCTTACAGAAGCACAATCCACGTTTTACACATATTTTATTCTAATCTCTTATACTGACAGTGCAGTTTCTATGAACCTCTATAATAGCTTTGCCTTGCCGGTACTTTGTAGACAATGATGTCATTCATCATCCAGTGCCCTTGTTCCTGCTTTGCAGGCAGAATCATATAAATAGCAATTTATGGTGTTTTTCTTTTCATAATGTTAACAGTAACCATTTCATGCTGCACTGCAGGTAGTGCTATCGAGGGGAAGGGGTTGAAATCTCACCCCCCAGCTTATATGTGAGTGCCGGTCTCTTCCAGGTTCTCTGGTTTCCTCCCTCAGTCCAAAGACATGTAATTAGCCAAATTGGGGTCTTTAAATTGCTCATTGTGTCCGTGAATGTGTGTGTACCGTGAGATGGACTGGCATCCCATGCAGATAGATGCCAGGCCCCAAGTGACCTTGTACTGGACAAGTGGTTGATGGGTGTTTTTTATATGATTTTATTTGAACATACAGTTCAAACTTCATTCTTTCATTACAACATGTCATTATGGGCATTAATGACTTTCTTCAGTTGGTAGTCACAGCTCAGTACATGTACTGGGTCAGTGCTGTGACACTCATTGACTTTGTTTTCTTTGACCTGGTAAGAGCTTCTCCATCATTCGTCAAATCACTGTTAGTAATGGCTGTCACCATGGCAACGGTGCTTGTACAGACATGATTGGCTACGAGGAATTCAAAGCCTAAATGGATACAGTAGTTGAAATGTCATAACGTTCTGGTGAAGGGAATTTCTGAAGCCAGCGGCTAGGAGGGCTGGACCCATCTGACGCACTGCAAGATGTCTTTGTTATGCTTGGCTGATAGTTGCTATTATTTTGTAAAACAATTTAATTTAGTCTGTGTGATGAAATTCTTTATCTGTCTACACAGATACTAAATTGCTGAAACAAATGTGGGGGTGCTAACAATTACTGGAGCGAAGCCTGGCAGGAGATGGGGATGGTGCGTGTGAGGTGTTGTGATTAAGTAATTAAGCGTCTGTGCCTCTATCTGGGGATGCTCATTGCGGGTCATGCCTGGAGCAGGTTCCCGCTGCCCACTCCACATTTCATGCACAAAGCACACACTGTCATACTGGAATGGAGAGAGCACTGCATCCACTAGAGATGAGAGATGGAGGGCAGGTTGTCCTGGCGCTTCAGTGGGAGTGGCCAGATTCCGCAGCTTTGTGGCTCAGCCTCCCAGTCCATGCAGTATTGCATCATGGTCTTTTGTGTGTCAGAGATTATTGAGACAGATTTATGATTACGGCCCACATCATTCATCGCTAAGCAATCTTATTTCAGATTGCTGCCCTTCGAAGTGAAAATCTGTTAACCTCACATTAATCTGGGAAACCATTTAGAATAAGAATAATTTGAATTCATTTGTATTCTCCATCAAAGCTAAGTCAGCTTTTCCATAGGGGGTTTATGTGGATTAGCTTTTGGACAAATGCACAATAGTCAAATCAGGATGTTGGAACATTCAGTTTGTGAATTCTCGTTCCAAATGGAATAGTATGTATGCGTGTCTCTCTCCTGCATTACCAGTCAAAAATCTGGACACACCTACTTTTAATGTATTTGTCTCTAATTTAGCTATATCATTCACCTTATGGTAAAAGGCCTCGAGGCAGTGAAGTAATATGTATCAAATATTGGAACGACCCAGTGAAGTATTCAACATCTCAACATTTTTTTCTTATTGTAGACTTTTCAAAATGTCACAGACACTTGGCATTCTTTCAACCATCTTCCAGATCTAGCTACCTGGAATGCTTCTCCAACAGTCCTGAAGTAGTTTCCACAAGTTACTTTGCTCTTAATTTTCAAGCCAACTCATCCCAAACCAGCTCTCTAGGGTTTAGGTTTGGGGATTGTGGGGGGCAGGTCATCTGTCACAGCACTCCATCTCTGTAGTTAACAAGATGATTCTTACTACATAAACTTGATGAGTACTCTGACGGCAAGTGCTGCTTTAGTGCTTGAGTGCAGCCCCAAATTAAATTGGATGTCCCAAGATTATGCAAATGGTGCCAAATAGCCATGGGAAGACAGCCTCTCAGCACGCCATGTAATGCTGCCTTTGATTATAACAACGTGTAATTACCCTGTTTTGTATTTATCTTAAAGGCAGGGAGTGATCTCTATTTTTTGACTTGATGCTTATGACTGTACTTTACTTAAATGGCAGAATATATTTCCCCAATAATAGCTTTGCATAATCACTGCACTTTTACTGAACCCTGTCCTATCTGTTCTGCTACAGGAAATTACAGTAGTCAGAAGCATTGTGTTGCTGCTGGGAGATGGTTGGGTAATAGTGTTTGGTGTAACGCTGCTCAGGCTCCTTGGCCAGCCTCTGGTGGAGGGACAGCTCCTGAAATCCTCCTCCTCCTCAGCACACTGTGCCTTTATCCTTCTTGCAGGGTCATGCAAGATTCAAGAAAACTTTTTGGCGGGTTATAGTCTGATGGGTCTGTGTCCGACACTCGAAAGTCAGGGAATGCCCTCTTATGCTCAATCACATTGGGGGACAGTTGGGTTTTCGGCCAAAGGCCCCTATTCCAGAGTAGAAGGTATAACAGTGCTTGAAGTCCTATGCTGGAAGAGCGGTAGAGAGAGGAATCAATTCTCAGCTCACCGTTTGTAACACATCCATGACTCGCAGTTTGATGGATACAGCGTGGAGCCGACTTGCCAGCTGCCTTACTGAAGTACAAGCTGAACGTGATATGAGTTTGCCGAGCACAAAGATCTACTTCTTTGCAAGCAGCCAGATTTCATGGGGTTCTCCTGAAAATCCCTCCCCAGCGAGGTTTCGTACAGCTCGGTTAAAAGATGACAGGCGTAGTCCTTTATCACGTCCACCCCAGAATGTATCCACCCCCCGTGGCTCCCATCACCTTCCCGCTGTGCTGCATCCTGGTGACTCATTACAATCTCAGCACTTACAATACCAGCACATCACAATAGCAACTCTTAGGAGGATTCGGCCCTTTTTATCTAATGGGGAGGAAAGTTTTTCTTAACATCTCGATGCACAGGCCTGTCATAGAGGATCAGAGAGAAATCTGATAATGGCATGTTATTAAGTTCATACGAAAGCTACAGTCCTTCACTGCTGCATGGACTAACCTTAGTAACTAATTGGCTAAAGTGAAATCTCTAGCTGTGTACATTGGCTAAACGTGCTAAATTCCTAATAGCTTTCGTCAAACGGCTCCTGAGTTGTTTAATGGCTACAATGAAGATAAAATATTTGATGAACTGCATTTTGCAGAAATCAGTACAAGGCCAAAGCTGGTGTTTGTGTAACTGTGAATTGTACCAGTGTTTTCTCAGCTATTGTCAGAAC